ATCAAATTCATGAACGATACTGTAGGTGATTAAGTATTCGACTTTTGGTTGAGCAATTCTAACTATTTTATTTTTCGAAGATAATCGTTTGAACGTTTATGGCCACCCAGTAAAAAGAAGTAAGCGTAAAAACAGCCGTTTAAGGCCACCAAACGTCGAGACACTTTTACGATCGCGCATTCTACTATCTGTCCAATTACTATCAAGTTGATATATTTCAAATGACCATATCACCGGTAAAAATTATTTTATACAAAGCGTTTAGCCAATTAAGGCCGCTCGAGCGTAGGTTGTAATTACTGCCGAATTAGTTTGATACCCTAAACTGGCGCCAGCCCTTTTTCCCTCGATTGAACGACACCTGGCATAATTGACCGTTTCCTCGTTACGAAATTCTCGACCTTGCACAATCAAAAACGATTACTCGTTCTCAAACATATCGTTTGTTACGTTTCCCGTGTAAAGAGCCACTTCCTCTTGCTCTTTTCAAACGTACAAAAGTAATCGTACAATTTTCACGGAATTGTGCCAAGCTTTTCAACGAAAGAATAAAAAGATCGCGTAAAATAAAATCGAATGTTCACGTAGACGTTCAATTACGCGTTTTCTCTCTCTCTCTCGGAGTTTCTAAAGCAACGAGTGTTATTTCAGCAATAAAATCGCAAGGTGGCTTTCTAATCCTTTTTTCCCTACTCGTACAATTCACTTCGTTTGTTTCCGTTTGATTCGATCGTTACGGTAGAAATATGAAAAGTTTTTCGCATATTTTACGTATTCCTACGAAACGAATTAGTCCAACGAATTAGACGAACAATCTACGATGGAAAAAACAATAAATTGCTCGGTTAACTATTTACGCTTTAAAGATAGGAAGAAAGGAAAACTCGTCCATTAAAGTTACATTTTTCATCTGTTTCTGGTTTCACCCTGTTCCCCAACAGACAGTAAAATCTCACATTGTACGCGCGATTCGAGTTAAAGGAATTCTGTCAGTCAGGATGTTGGAAGCGTGTCGGATGTTCAGCGATGTGATGTCATAACAAGGCGATTGCAGGCGGATGCACATTTTCCGCGATTTCAGAGAGGGGAAAAAAAAGGAGAGAGAGAGAGACTGCGTGGTTTACAGATTTTATCGGTCTGTCTGTCGGTTACATCAGGAAAGATGATTGTCTATCTTAATATGCTAATGAAGAGCTACGACGTTGAAAGTTTTCCAACATCGAAACCAGGGAAAACCCGGTTAAAGAGGAATCAGGCACGCATCGATGATAAAACGCGTCATCCTTGTGATTAACGCGGCAGGAACTGATGGGTGAAAGATCAATCATCCAGTCGTTCCGACAGAGAGAGAGAGAGAGCCTTAATTGCATGTTGATGCTTCCCAGACAATTAAACCTTTCTTCTTCCCGTAAACGTTCGCACCGTTCACTTAGGGGCGTTTCGAAGGATTTCGAGCGGCAATAAGACAAAGTCATCTGAAACGGGGAAAACGATTCATCTTGTCTCGATCTCAGGCTTGGATTTTTATAAATAAAATCAAATTTTGGAGTTGATAAATTTTTACACCGAGAATTTTAATTTAATTTTTTTTAATTATTTTTCAATAGATTTCTTTAATTTCAATTTTATCTGCATTTTTTTCTGAGGAATAACTAAAGATTTTTACTGTTCTGTAATTATATTGAAATCGTAATATTGTAATTAAATTTAATATTAGAGAATTTTTTGGGGAAATTTTAGTTTTTGATGGAGAGAAGTTTTCTTTGTGTTGTCATTCTTTAGTTTCTGACAAGATTGAAGAATTTCTAGAAGATCGTGTAAAAATTGTTGGTCTTCGGTATTAACAGCAGTTTCAACAGCGGCGGATACTTTGTTTTGTTCGACGTAATTGCACAGACGTAGCAGATGGGTTGTTTTACTACTTTGTGTCATTTCGTGAGTGCAAATTGGACAATTATTCTAGTAAAACGTACTAGCAGTGGACAAGATATCGGGTGTATCAGGATGGAAATTATGGAATACTTAACATTCTTGAAATAGACGGTAATAACGTAGTTTGATAAAAGATCTACGTACATGGTTACGAACGATAATTACAAATGATACGATAAAATGCGATGACTTTGCGTGAATGAAATTTTTAATGGAGGAATTGATGAATTAATGAGCTAATTAAGGAAGTAAACAACAAAATTGTATATGCTACTAAGACTAATAATAATTTATTAGTAAAGACTAATAAAAAGTCTTTATCTTCTGTGTTTCAAATAACGAAGAGAAATATTGTCGCAACACGGTCCAATTAAAGCTTTTATTCCATATTCACGTGAACTTTACCAGCAAACAAAAGAATAATTGAAAGCAAACATTTAATATTTTTCATATTTTCTCGTTCACTCTTCTATCACATATTTTGTAATTCTTAAAAGAACACGAGCGTAAAAATATTTTTTATACTTTTTCATATTTCCATTACAGACTTTATTTATTGAAAATAACAAATAAATTTTTCACTCACTTTTCTATGATATCCCTATTTTTAACGTTGCATCGTTATCCAACTATACTCCAAATCACATCTCGAAAAATTGCATTCTGCATCGATCGTTGTCACGTATAGTCGGTCTAAGAAACAGTGAGGTCGGTAGGCGTGAACGTTCGCATGATCTAGCATCTAGCGTGGACAGAAGACAAGTGTTCCAAATCTCAATCAAGTCAGCAATTTGATTCAGTCAAAATCGAGACCGTAAAATGCTGCGTATACTGATCCGAAATGCTACGTATTAACGCTTTAATTTACGGCCCCGCTGTGTTTCTTCCATCGGCTATACATTAAAAAGAATGAACCACTTATCGAGGATGATCGAGTCAATCGAATGAGAAATTCCATGCACTCCAGATCCGCGATACACGCGAGCCTTCTAGAATCGACGAATAAATCAGTTTGTTATTGCTGGCACGTGTACACGTGGCGTGTATAACGCGTGTGCCCGGCGATTTCTCGCTGTTCCGCGTGTCTCCCCTCAGCAGAGGAGTTCAATCTGCTTGCAACCACGCATGGATTACTTAAGAAGTCAATCAATGACACAGGCTCTCCCAGTCGTGGCCCTGCGATTGGCACATTTCCTTTCGTGGCGAAATCTTCGCGATGGAATATTACCCGATCTATAGGACTAATCGCCGTTTCCACTGATTTTATCTAGAAAAAAAAAACAAATTAATACAAATGGCACAGTTGGTAGATTAAATTAGCGCAAAGCTGATTTTACATTAACTGATAAAGTGTTTTCTTTTTTTTTCCACTCTTGAAGAGTTATACTCTTGCAGTTTCGTAATTTCGCTATTGGAGCGATGAAATGATACTTATGCAATCTTAGATATGATCTTTGGCTGCATCTTTGATCGATCGTGCGTTCACTTTCAAATATTAAACATTTTGAATGTTTAGGGAATCCGAAATGTAAGTAAATCAACTCTTATCAGAGGATTTCATAGAATTCTTGATTTGGAACTCTGGTAGGATCTATAGATCCTTTTTTCACTGCTCTCTTGGCACTTAAGTATTAAATATTAGAAATTTCTAATATTTCTTTCTTTTTTTATTCAGCGAATAGTTCATATTTGAGAAATTTGACAAAGTGTTATTTTCTTCACTGGGTTTCATAGAATTCTTTAGATCTCCAGTTAGGTCTTTAACGTTACTATGCCTCGCGAGTTCTTTCCCATCAAAAATATGTTCTCCCTTTCAAAATAATTGCCAATTTTAATAAAGGTTTAAAGAAGTTTGCTATCAATATGTTTTCCATTTCTTATTAAATTTCAATTGCCTAAAAAATTTTCAACGAAAAGAAGAATTGCAATGCACTTCTAATTTCCTTCTCTTATTGTTCAAAAGTTATTCATCGAACAGCTAATAAATGTTCACACGAGAAACTGCCTCGAGTTGCATTCGATCTAAAGCATAGAAATCATTTATACGTTTTCTGCCGATTGCAAGCCGCCTGTTCGCAGAGGCGGTTCGTTAACAGAGCGGAATATTACCGGAGAAAACCAAACGGAGCCTGGTGACAGATGTTCGGTCACGTTTTCGTGGGAAACTATGTCGTCTGATCAGTATCTTCCATTGAACTTTGCGCGACCCCAGCTCGATCGGCTGTTTGTAGAAGAAAAACGCCGGTTATGTCACAGTTCAGAGCTTAATTAGCAAATCGCCTTTTTATTTCACGGATGGAATACTCGGGAGGATATTTTAGGAATTTGATTGTTTTCTTTGAAAAGTTCCATTTTCACACGTTACGAAACGTACACTAACAATAAGTGATCTCATACTTTGTTTCTTTCATTCTAAATAATAAACCACACTCTACTTCTGGAAATATTCGTCCAAGATGAAAATTTTCGTTTACAGATTTTTACTTAGAAAGAGAAATTTCTTTTTCCGAAGAAAATTCACGTAAAACTTTGTTCGATCAACATCATTTTGTATATGGTTTATGAAAAAAGATGCTTGATTCACGTTATGTTATGTAGAACCGATTTGCTTGTATAGTATCCATTTTTATACTTTTGGATTTCGTAGTCAAGTGGCTTTTTCAGTTCGGCTGTATTTTATGCAAAAACATAAAGAGGTATTTACGTTGTTTCTTTTTTATGTAACTCTTTGCTTGTTTCTCGAATGTCTTCGGAATTTTGGCTGTTTTTACCACGAGATAAGGAAAACAAAGTCAATTGTAAGGCGTGATGTGAGTTTTAAGTGGACGAAAGATGACTTGCCGGGATTTTGGCAACGATTTCCACGTGTGTCTTGTTCATTCTCCATATCTCCGTGTCATTCAATGAAATGCTCGATAATTGTATATTTTTTATTATAATTAATTGCTACAAATGGTCGAAAAATACTAAAAAATAATCATAAATACGATTATATTAAATACGAATAGTGTAATATTTTCGTATAATATTTCAGAGTACTAATTAGCTTCCCATAATTATTGTTGCAGATGGAAATGCACAAAAACCCCAATGGGAAGAGGAATTCTTTGCGTGGTGACGAAAATTCGCTGAAGGAACCTCACAGGTAAATACTGATTTGCTTTCTAATAGACGTCGATTAATTATTATTCACCAAGCTGTCTGGGATACCTGGATTTTCACCTTTTAAACCGTGTCGCACGATGATATTGAATTTTTCACGCACATTAACTACACCGCCTACAGTTTAATTACCTCGACTAACGTCGTCGTGTCGATTCGATAATTTACTATGCTGCAACGTTGCGTAACTGCAGATTGTTCAAGAACTAATTATGAATTTATTACAGTAGCACACCTGCGCAAGCTTCGAACAGCCAACCAATGAAACTTTTCCTTTGAATTAAAACTGTTTAGAATCTGTTGATCGGACCAATTGAATATTTTTACAAATCGTCCTCATCATAAACTCCTAACATCTGCAGTTGTATACTTTAATCTATTTGCAAATATTTTTGCAAATTTTATTGACGCTTCTGTAAACATGTTGTATTTATTATTATAAGATTGTTAATATTTTCCTCATTTTTTGACGTTCATTTACTATCAGAAATTTTCACCAATTTTGACAAATTTACAGGTCTATTTTTGCAAAAAAATAGTGTCCTTATTTATTATTTAATATTTTGATTAATTTCCTTAGTAGGTATCTTCACAAATTTTTCTTATTTCTATCTGTTATTTTATTTTCCCAAAAATGATATCCTTACTTATCATTTTTACAAATTTTTTTAATATTCCTATTTTCCTTTGTTCTATTTCTGTGCTCTACATTTGCACAATGTTTTCGTCCGTTTTCTCGCTGTCGTTTAATTCCACGTGATCGTCGTACTCGTTATCAGCGATAACTTTCATGGCTTTATCCAGTTCACCGTTCACCGAAATAGTCGGTGGAATGGACTAAATAGTTAGCATTAAACGGGCAAATTGCGAAACTCGCTGTCTTTATATACATGTTCCCTCTTCAGCGGCAAGACCGGAGCCAAAAAGTGACGTAGCTCGTTGGCATCCAACGATATTTCTTCGATCCTGCGTCGAAACTACCACGGCGTTTCACCTGACAGTCCGCGTTTTATCATCACGAGGAGCGACGATTACATGGAAATGAGGTTGCACGAACAATGATCGAGGTTTCCCTCCTCTTTTAACCAGGCTCAGATCTCCTTTGCACAATCGATATCTCCTATCCTCCTGGATTATTTATTTCTTATCTGTGCTTTCGTAATTTTCTGAATTAACAATATCCACAACAATCGTGAACAAACGTAATCATATCAAGAACGTATCGTATCTTTGTAGTTACAATGTCATTTCTAAGACGTTCTGTTCATTGATTACCTCATATGGCAATTTACATGTCAGTCGTTAATTATTCCGTTATTCAAGGATATCTGGAAACCGGTTTATTCTGTTTTTCTTTTTGTTTTGTTACACATTTCTCAGTGACCTTGTGTCGCGAAAATTTTTCCATTTCCAAAGGGGGAAATTATCTTAACGGTAATTCTATTGTTTTTTATTTCACACGTGAAACACAGGACCAAGTTGATTCGCAGAGATTTTGCAGAATTTGCCATTTGAGAAGGAAAAGCGTGTGCGGTACATGTGATGCGTACTACGTTCAGAAGTGTTGAAGTTAATTTAATTGTAGTGACGGTTTCGTTGAAAATCCCCAACTGGTCGGTCGTGGTGTGGGTCTTGAAAGGAAAATCAGACACGTCGAGGAAGAATTATAAATAACGCGTGATAAACTTGTTGCTGTTCCTAGTGACTGCTGGTTGTCCGAGAAGGGAAGTCTGAAATATTTGTTCAGACTAATAAAAAGGTGTTTCCGACTGGTCAAGAGGGGGTTCACCTTGAAAATGTTAATGCCAGTTCGTGTGTATAGGATATACAGGATTTTTTAAATAAAGACCAGTTTAGACCGTCACTTTCACGTTGCTTTACATACATACGTGTGACTCATAGGAAATTGTGCATTTACCGCGATGTATTTTGCTAAAAAATTCATTAGCATCGATACTTCTTCTGTTAAAGCGATAACATAAATTTCTTGAAGTTTCACAAATTTTTGTCGTTGCTTTCTTCCACTGCATACTTTTTAAATACCTACTAATTCTAATCGCGTCACCATTTTCTTCGATTTTGGGTTTCACGAGGTTTACAAAGTTTTATTTTCTTCAACACTAATTTTTATCGTATCGCAGTGTTTCACAGGGTTTACAAACTTTTATTTTCTTTCATTGCCATTTACCATTTTCTTCAATTTTGTATTTCACGAGGTTCACAAATTTTTGTCTTTCTTTCATTGTGCACCGTAACTTCTTTAAATACTAATTTTTACCATATTACCATTTTCTTCGATTTCGTATTTCATAAGTTTCACAAATTTTCGTTATATTACCACTTTCTTCGATTTTGCGTTTCACATTTTCCAAATTTTCTTTTACTCCATCGTACACTTCGAATTCTCGGACCTTCATTTTTATTACATTACTTATCGTGCTTTTCGACTATATACTTCTATCGCAATTACTTTAACAATTTCGCAAAGGTAATGTCCAAATTGGCCGTTATTCAACTTCCATCACAATTCGAGTGAAAGTAGAACGTGTTCGATGTGTACGATGTCACTAGCGTCGAGTAGTCTACGGTAGATGTTGAGCTATGGTAATCGTAAATCTTACGAGCAACTGGTTTGACGTTCATGGGAAAAGTTGGACGTAACTTTATACAGAAGTAAACCCGCTGGCACTGCATTCTAGTTGCACTTGTTGCTATCAGTCTCGGGTTTCTTCAAACAAAGAGATGTTCGGTAATTAGAGGTCTCATTGATACCGATCTTTACATAATCCCCGTGTAAATTCTGAGCCTTGAAAGCTTTGAAAATTCTTTTTCGCAATCATAATTGCAATAATTGCAATTTCTCGAGGTAGAAATCATTATCTCTCTTTGTAACAAAGAGAACTCCTATAATGCACCTATATAGGAAATTATGTAAACGATAATACATTACATAGTATTAAGAAAGCACACAAATGGTAATTAAGTAAATACTAATCATCTTATTGTTTCCAAATTTTTTAAATTGTGCACTTATTCTTTCCTTTTTCTTTGTTATATTCTATATTAAAGAGAAGATTACTTCGTTCCATAATATCATTGTAGTAATTAAACGAGAGAAAAATATTTATTTTCCAGTAATTTTTTCTTTCGTGACATATTCCACATTAAAAAAATTATTTCGTTCGGTAATATCATTACGATAATGAATAATACGAGTGCGAAATATTTATTTTTCAGAAATGGTAGCACGTACGGAGCCTTCCAATCGAAGGACCCTATTCTGGCTGTGGAAAAGGGCTCCGAAATGGAAGGCGGAAGCGACGAGCATGGAATTTCCGTTCACCATCCGACCTCGTAAGTTCAATTACCTCGCACCTCACGATTCTCGTTTCCTTCGAGTCGTCCTTCTAAGCAATTTTTTTTTCGGCTAACTTTCGAATAAATTTGCCAACCAGACGAATGAAATGCTCGATGAATTTAATTCAGTTACGACATACCAAAGGGAGAATAAGTTTCGTTACGTTCACGTGTGTACGTTCCTTCTTCGTTGCGGATATGTTACACAGCCTCGAGGTGGGTTCCGCTCTTGCGGTTTTAACTTACACACCGCTGAACTATGGTCACTTTCAGTTACATTACCTACGAACAATTTCCTTTTATCTCTTCATAGAACTGCGAATGTGTACGAAATACCGCAAGTTAAATATATACAACCGTTTGATTTCTGACTATTTTTTTCTTCGCGACGGTCAGACGCGATAAGATTTGCAAGTGGAACAATTAGTTATACTTAACGCGATTTGTAAGTAATATTCGTTTCGTTATTTCTACATTTGTGGAATACGAAAATTCAGCCAACAATTAGTTTAACACACAGCTGGATTTTCTCAGAAAAATTGTAGTATAAATTTTTTAATACGTTTTTAAAAAATTTTCTAATTTACCGTTTTAATTTGCTTTTTAATTTTAATCGACTTTTTCGAAACAATTTCGTTTTAGCGTTCTTGTTTCAAGGTAAAGACATAAAAGACGTGCAAGTGTAACTTTACATAAAAATCCCAGTTAATGTTTTGAAATTTCAAACAGTTTAATTTCGACGTCTCTTTACATACGCAGAATTGCTTCTTTTTATCAGGTCAGTTGTATCTTCGAAAAATGTTCTACGTCTTTGCAAAGGTCTGATGTCATTTCTCCAACGAGTGTATCTCTTTGTTCGTTCTTACGGCGAAATGATGCATTAGGTTCGTGCAATTAGTAACATCGGGAGTAAGAATAGATCATTTCGTGCCTTTTGCAATAATTGATCGTAAAGCGGAATTCTCACGTACGTCATCGTCTTTATCGTGTTCTCGATGACGACATTCTGCATGGAAGGAAGGAAGCAATTTAACGGATAATCGCGATTTTCCGTGATACGTCCGAACACTATTATTTTCCAAGTAGATCCACGTAAATTTGACAGGACTCTGGCTGTTCAAAGCGTTCTGCTTAAAGGAACCGGATAATCTCATGATTAACGCGTTTTTCCTGCGAAGTAATCGCTGTATATCCCGGGAAAATATCCCTTTTTTTTTTTTTTTCTTTGCTCGGCGTAATTGTGACGATGAATTAAAGTGCAGAACCGCGAGCCTTGAAGCATCGTGCGTCACATATGTACAGATATGTGCCGTACGTCTCGAGTAAATGTTCTTAACCTCGCGTTCCATTCACCAGAGGATACATATTTAAAAGAGCGACAGATAAAACGTTTCGATACCGTGCTGGCTCGCAAGGATGTCATCGAGATAACGAGAGACACAGTATACTTAACGAGTCGTTTAATTCTGCGACATTGATTGCCTGTTGTTAACTCATTACAGTATATCAACCTTTAATGACTGGTTCCATTTTTCTTCTTGTGACGTTTTTGCGTGGTTAACGAGAGGTGTTTTTCCAGAGAGAATTAAATTTTTTATTTTATACCGTGTCAAGGGTAGAATTTGGTACTTAGTCTGCTGCTCCAATAATTTTTGCGAATTTTTAATCTATTATCGTAATGTATTTTCGTCGAAATTTTTAGAATTTGAAACTTTTTAGATTTCTTTTTCAAATTTTGTACAATATTTATCAAATGACTTGCAATTATTTATTAGAATATTTTGAAAGTTTTAATTATTTGGAATTTTTAAACTTTGTCTTTGATGTGCTCCATGGCGATGTAAATGCGTGTTCCAGGATATGCGATTTATTTCCACGTGATTTCCATAATTTCCTTCGAAAAATCTCCTACCCTCCTGTTTCCTTTCCAAGCGATACATTAAATCATTTCCAGCGACTTGAATATATTTAACCTCTGACTCGTCTTTCCTCTCAATCTTGCATTAAGTACGGCCTGAACGAAATTGTCCACTCTTTTAATTGCAGCGTTATTGTTGCTACAGACGTGTTACACGGGAACACGTTTTATACTGGATCATGTATGATGATCACGTGCGAGGCTAATTTCCTTAATTCACGAGCACGCGCAACATTAATGCAAATCACGATGTATAACAATTCGTAAGGAAGTAAGCGAAGGATAATGAACAGCTACTGCTGAACAATTTTTTAAAAAAATTTTCTCGAGTATTATTCTCTTGCAGCGATTTTCTCGATGCAGTAGTAAAACGATATATTTAAACGTGTCACATAAAGTGTAACAATATCCAAGCATTGTCATTTAAATTTTACTTCAAATTTATGTGCAATTTTTATAAGTACCTACTACAAGTTTATGTAAAGATGATATAAAAATTGCTAGAAATTTGTGGCAAATTCGAAGCTGTCAACAGTTCTGCTATTCAGTTTGTTCTTATTTTTCGACGATGAATCATTTTTACACGGATGTGCCTTGGCTCGATTAGATATATGTACACAGAACGTCGGTGAACATGATTAACGAGCAACACAGGCCTAGGCTTTTCCTCCAAACTGCAAAAGCCGAAGCCGAATCTCGAAATAAATATGTTGGCATAGGTTCTCACTGGTTCGCGTAATTTCCACATTTAACTTTTCATTTGGAGAATCGCCGTTGTCGTGACATAGTAGTATTTTACTCGGTTGCACAATTATGCGTTTCATTGAAATGCGTCCTCTTGCGAGAACGTAATCAAGGACACTCGATGTAAAGCTTGAAGGTCTATCGAATTTTCAAATTTTTCGTAATCTTCTCTTAAACACGATCGAAATAAATTTCATTTCATTTTTTCTTTTGCCAGCTTTATTGGAACGAGCGTAACTTATTCTCGGTACGAAAGTATTCTTAATACACTATGAGTCAGCATAAGGCACGAAAAAACTGCAGAAATATGTATTTATAGTCGTTCGAGTCGCGTATTTTAAGAGGGATTCTTGTCTACTTTATTTCCGTCCGCGTGCTTTCCATTCTCGTTTATTTCTGTTATTCGAAGAATCATCGCGCTCGTGAATAATTAACGATATCCACAGATTAGCGGTGGGTATGTTTATGCAAAGCGTAAAACCGCGGGAGAGGCATGGACCGGGCGTTTTCAAACTCGGTCGGTCGGTTCATTCGCCGGTGATTTTAAATTAGCTCGCGCGACGGGACACGGGAATGCTTGAGAAATTTGCTAGTCAACTGTACCAACCTTTGTTGACTCTAGTTCACCGTTACATCGATGAATAATTAGAAATTTTTCACGAGATCGGCAAGTGAAATAATTACACTATCTCTCCTCTGACACTCTTAAAACGTAGAATTACAAACACTTGGAAAATTCCAATTTCCTTAAAAATTGCAAATCAGTAAACTATATCAACGATGAAATTAAAAAAAAAAGAATAGAAATTTTTAATCACTTCTTTCAGTCCTTGTGTAGTCATTGTTGATGGTTGTCTAAGTAGGTAATCGGAACAATTTTATCTTAAACGAGATAAATTCGAACAAACAAGTAAATCACATCGACGATGGAATTTTAAGAAATTTCGAATAGTTTGAAATTTATCGCGACTTTGTGCAGTCATTGTTGATGACTGCTCAGGCAATTGGGGCAGTTCAATCTGGAGCTGAAAATCAATATTACTGTATCGAATAACAACACGAATGCGTTGTTTCATTTAATATAGAAGGTTATTTATGACGGTTGAATAATTACAGGTATTTAGAAACAATGATGCACCTGTTCAAAGGTAACGTCGGCTCGGGTATGTTTGCGTTAGGGGATGCTTTCAAGCATGCCGGACTGCTGCTGGCTCCGCCGCTTACGATGTTCCTCGGGGTTATTTGTGTTCATGCTCAGCACATTCTCGTACGTGAAACAAACTTCTTTTCTGTACATAATTTTTTGCACTAACGAAGTAATTAATAATTAATCATTGTGTTAACTGAATGTTACAGGTCGTGTATTGTGAAATGTCGGATTTTTCACGGAGGAATGAGAATCGTTTTCTTTTTTTAAATTCAAACAAACATTAGCAAAAAATGACCAACATTTGTACGAACTTAACGCGAGACAACTGAAACTTTTCGACACTCGAGTAGTCACTTTGAGCAATTAATTTAGGAATGATTAGAAATCCGACATTTCACACTGCAATACCTAATGTATTACGTATCTTGTTTGAAATAAAGATTGAATTGCATTCCTAATGATAGAAAATGAAAGAAACGAAACGCTGTAAACTTCATATTATAACGAAGTGCAACACGTTCACGATTAAAGGTTGCAAACAGATATCAATTTCCATCAGTTCTTAAGTTACACGAAATGCTGATACAGTATAACAAGATTATTACGAGAAACTGATCTAACTTCTTCCAGCGATATATAGTGTTTCCCTTTAAACGTGCGACAAGATAATTCATCGAAATTTCGGTCTAATTTTTAGAAATAATTTCACTATCATTTGGGAATAATATACAATTTATTGAAATTTTCTTATGTGTTCCTTTAGAATATCTGAACTATTAACTTCATCTATTCCACGTTCGTGTCTCATGCCTTATATTTCACGTAATTACAAATGTATGTAGTCTTTACACTTTAACTAATAACATAGAATGTAAAGAATCGAGGAGAAGATCCCCGCTTGGTAATATATACAGGTATTATAATTTGCTCGCAGATTAAGTGTAACGAAGAGGTGACGCGTCGCGTTAATGATCCGAGTGCCTCGACTGGATTCGCTGGTACAGTGGAATTGTGCTTTGCCACCGGCCCTCTTTCACTCCGAAAATACTCTGTGTTTATGAGGTACGTACACATACGTGTAATAAGAAGAGCATGAAATAGGGACACCATCGAACTATGCGCTACACAATTGTATCAGCGTTACGTGAAATGCTTGCACACCTCCAGACGTTTATTCGACAAATCGACGATATTATCGCAAGAGTTAATTTACGATTTTATTTCTCCGTCTTTTGTTCTCTTCTTTGTTTCGCGTATATATTCCATTGTGCATCTTTCCACATGATTTATACTGCCATCCGTCACTTTGTTCCAGACAATTGGTTAATATATTTTTATGTATCACGCAACTTGGATTTTGCTGCGTTTATTTCGTTTTCATTGCCAAGAATATGAAGCAGGTGAGCTATTACCCTTTCTTTTCTTTCTCGAGATAATTAGCGCGATTGTTTCTTTTTTCGGTAATGATAGCGAGGGAAGGTTCTGGTTTGGATTCTGTGTCAATTTTTTTACAATTATATTTTAGGCAAAGAAGTGTGAAAAATGAAAGAATAAAGTTGGAATGTTTTAGTCTTCTGAATTGGAACCTCCTTTGAATTCATTCGAATTATTAGCGCATCTACGATATGTACCTAATATAATCGATGACACATGAACGACTCAGAAGCCAAAGTGACCAACTCCGTCAAATTAAATTTATCAAATTTTGGTCATTTATGAAGAATCAAACACCAAGTATGTGCTTTGTTGCTAAAATTAGTAGACTGTCAAAAAGTGGTTAATCACTTTGGCTTTTGAGTGGTTTACATCGTAAGTGGAAAACCTGATATTATCAGAGAGTGTTCGTAAAGCAATCAGGAAGATAAGACAAAAATGAAAAGATATTATTATTTAATTTTCAAATTTCCACGAATGTTGATGTTTTAGATGTAAGAACTATCGAATGATTAATTTGAAAAAAAAAACAAAAATCGATCTTGCCGACAGGTGTTGGACGTGTACGGGATCGAGATGAGCGTTCACGAACACATGGCTGTGATCCTGATCCCCATAATGCTGAGCACGTGGATCAGAAACCTCAAGTACCTGGTACCTGTTTCGTCGATGGCGAATTTCCTGGTCACGGCGGGCTACATCGCCACCATGTATATAATGTGCCACGATTTGCCGCCGATTCGCGAGAGGCGGTACATAGCCGATTGGCACGAGCTGCCCCTGTTCTTTGGCACTGTGATATATTCTTTCGAGGGTATCACTTTGGTAAGCCGTCTCGCGTCTGTACGTGCTTCTTACCAGCGTTTATATAACGAGTTATAAATTTGGCGACCGGTCGCTTCGTCATTTTCTCTCTAATAAGAAGCAGACTTTTAGAGAGAACGGCGCGGCGTGCCGATTTTGACAACATCGAACGTCGGCAAATTACCTTCCAAGGTTTCGTTTCTGCGCACGAACGGTAGTTGAGAACTAATCGAGGGAATAGAGAATCTTCTGAAAATAGTTTTACGATTGCTATTTCGCGATGAATATGTATTTTAGGGGAATTAGAAGATCGTCGATGTTTTAAGTAGAACAAAGTATTTTATAGTTTTTGAATATTCACGATGATAGAAATAAAGAATCGAAAGAAAGATAGAAAGAAAAGAAGAAGATCGGATAAAGAAATGGAATTGGTTATGTAAGTTACCTTTCGAGATTTGCGCAACTGTTTCTGACGTGGTAGCAGACTATTGGAAATTATGTTATATTTGCATTTGTTAAAATAGAAATTTTGCGGTGTTACTTCGAATATTTCGATGTATATTCCGTTTTAATCGTTTTTTTCTGTTACATTTCAGGTGTTACCGCTGAAGAATGAAATGAAGAAACCTAGCAATTTCAATAAGCCACTGGGTGTCCTAAATGTGGGAATGGTGATTGTTGGAGCGATGTTCGTCGCGATTGGTTTTATTTCGTATTTAAAATATGGCGACGCGGTGGCTGGATCTGTAACATTGAATCTTGAATCGAAAGAAGTGTAAGTATAGAATTTACTTTTTCTTCAATTGTATCTGGATACTGTAATTATTGTTCGGTCGATAAAGTCGCTTCCCTTTCAATATATACCTCATGTAAATTACTCGTTAAATTTATCTATTCAAGTATTAAGTTATTGATTCATTTTGCTCTTACGATCAATCAATTCTACAGTGAAATCTATGATTTCGATGTGATATAATTCAGGCAAGTTGTTACTTTTCGTAAGGTTAGCACTTATACGAATATCATTCTGCTGACTCTACAGTAGATTACAGTAAATTCTCTACAAGAGCCAGTAAGTTTGGATTCTACAAGTGACGGTATAGATGGTCCTACGCCTAGGTCTGCGTCATTGCTGCGCCAATGTTATCTCGCTCGCAGTCAGTCAAGCCTGTAA